GAGGATAGAAAAAAAACCTGGCACCGTATACGTAGCTCCACGGAGCTAGCATCAATAAATAACAAAAAACAAAATGTCTAATTTCTGTTGAAGCTCAGGGACCCACGCAAGCCCAAAAAAGACCCATAAAATCTGGGGGCTATAAAAGTCTACAAGACTACTAATAAAAGGCAGAAATTCCTTATCCTGAAAGTAATGAAGTTCACATTCCTGAGAAGAATTAAAAGGTTTGAGTGTTTTGGGATTTCGTTAGGTTGGTTTGGGGTTTTTTGGATGTGTTCAATTAATAGTGAAACTTGACCTAATATACCTAATAGCCAAATCCTTCCTAATGAAAACCAAACTGACATAACAGGAAAAAAACGAAAAAATCTCTTGGACATTTCTCAAAATAAAATTATTGCAAAACCATTTCCCTTTTATGAACTTTTATATTGTAATATTTTTATTGTATCTTAAAAAAAAAATTATCACCAAAGTGGGGCCCCGAACAAGTTTTCCCCTTTTCATTATTTTTAAAAAATTTTTGGGTCAAAAGGGAAAGGGGAGCAAATGTTCTACTACCGTTGTTGTTGAAGTGGAGTCAAATAAAAATTTTGGCGGGCAGTTGGCGATTTATTTTGAGGCAGTGACTTTTTCCCCTGTTTCGCACGTTTTCTTTTCGACCTCCTCACATCTAGCTTTCTGTGGGAATTAGGGAGGTCGAGCCCGTTAACTATTCTGAAGGGGGGTGAAACTCTACATTATTTCCCCCGGTTATCTCAACTGCTTCCCCCTTCCCCCATCCTGATATTTCCCCCCCGATATTTATTCTTCTTGTTTATTGTTCAAACATTTTATTCTTTTACTGAAAGTTACTTTTATTGTTGCTTCTTCATTTGGTAAGTGACAAAAAGGCACAGTGTAAAGGAGTTAAAAGTTTTCTTGCGTCAAATGTTTTGCGTGAGACACACACTTTATCCTCGTAGGTCTAAATGAAATAATTTTAAATTTTTTTTATTCGGATTATGGCTCGATACTACTTTATTTTCCCCGGTTTACACAATGCTATCCAAATGTTTGACCAATTTACAAGTTTGATGTAGACACGACAAGACAAGAGCGAGAGATCGAGGGAAAAATGTTTGATATCTGCTTAAAGTTGACCTTGCTTTTCAAAATGCGTATGTATAAATCAGATAAATAAGTAATTAAGAAAAATAAAAAATAATAAAACTAAAATTTTTTTCATTTTTCCCCGTTCGAGGAAACCCTATTTGACCCACTCTACGGGGATCCTTTTCCCCTGAAAAACCCTTACCAAACCTCTGAGGGATTTCCCCCCTTTTTACAATTACAGAAACCCTTAATGGTTTCCCCCATTATGTTCCCCACACCCCTTTTACGTCGAAATCCTCATCTACCAGTCCTATTAGGTCCCAGTATGCTTAAAACGATGTTAGCTTGTTTTACTTTACATATGGAAGATAGCCAAAAAAAAACAAAAAAGGGTTCTTCTATAAAAATGGGCAAATTGTTCGAGATGTCTCAAACCCCTGTTTTTTGGGTTTCCCCTACCCATGTTTGTTCCCATGGAGTATGGACACCCCAGTTAAAAGGCCCCCGCCTACTGCAAACGGTTTTTTTTCCCTTAATTTCCCTATCCGTGTTGCCCGTGCCCTTTCGAAGACTTTTTGGGACTCTTTAAAAACCTGTTCCTCGCATTCTTTTTTTCTGCCAAGGGTAATTCTTTTCCAGTCCGTTAGCTTGCTGTGTGTTTTTTCATCTTGTCCAAATAACCCGCACATTGGTGAAGAAAAGTTATGACGCGTTTCGGCCGTTTGTACCATTTACAAGACCCAACACGTTCGGGTTAGTGAACTTGTCAAAGGTACAAAACTGACCCAAACGTTTTGGTTCATTATATTGGGTTTTTTTGTTTTGTTCCGTCACGTTATTGTCTTTGTTCTTTGTATTTTTTTTTTTTTCCCCTTTTTGTTAAATATTTTTTTCTGTTTTTATTTTTTGAAAAATTTATTTTTTTTTTTATACATATCACTTCTGTTTAATCACGTCATACCTCTGTTATTTTTTTTCTGGCCAACCCCCAAAGCGTACCAACAGCTTGACTGTCAGATACCGGGTTTCAATAAGCGGAGGTGATCGAATCCCCCCCTCGCCTTACCAGGGTTTATTCCTTGAAAAAAAAAGAAAGGGGAAGGAAGTCTTTTGACTTATGCTCCTCGTTCTTTAGTCTCGAAAAGGTACCTGGGGCCCAGTATTCGTGGGTGGTATCCCGGTTGAGCTCAGAATAGGACGTCTAAACTCCCCTCCCCCATGTCTGTTTATTTTGTATTTTTCCAGTCACGGTATTGTGCCCTTTTAACTCTTCGGACGTATGAACAGGTCTCATTACACCTGTTGCCTCTGTTCACCTAGTACTAAATAGGTACCCGGGTGTTAGTCGAGTGTTGTGGGTGGCATCCTTGGGGTAGAAGTACACCTCAGGACTGAGTTGAAAGTAGCTGAGGGAGGCTAACAGCTTTCAGCCTGTAAATGAGCTGAGGTAGGATAACAGATCTTGTTACGTAAGACACATATGCAACAGTTAGGTATCTTTATTTCGAAACGTTTTGCCTACACAGTAGGCTTCTTCAGTCGAGTACAGAAAAGTTGATAGAAGCAGAATAGACTTGAAGACGATGTAATCAGTCCATCACCCTTGAAGTTTTGAGGTGGTCAGTCCCTCAGTCTGGAGAAGAGTATTGTTCCATAGTCTGAAACAATATTCTTTCAGACTATGGAACAATACTCTTCTCCAGACTGAGGGACTGACCACCTCAAAACTTCAAGGGTGATGGACTGATTACATCGTCTTCAAGTCTCTTCTGCTTCTATCAACTTTTCTGTACTTGACTGAAGAAGCCTACTGTGTAGGCGAAACGTTTCGAAATAAAGATACCTAACTGTTGCATATGTGTCTTACCTAACAACCTGTCGGTATTTTATACCATTTTAATGTTCATAACAGATCTTAGACGTTAAATGAGCCAAGGTATGAGAAAAACTCTTAGTCTGTAAATGAGCTGAGGTATCATAAAAAAAAAACCTCGTTTGCCTGTAAACGAACCGAAATACGGTAAAAAAATATCTTAACCTTCGAATACAACTGTATAAAAAAAAAAGCTCCTGGCACGAGTGTTCGTGTCTCCACTAATCATCGCCTGAGTGTTATAGTCAGGCTGAAATTTTAGTGTATTCACTGGTCTTCGAAATATACACACAAAACGCGAAAAAATCAATTATGCTTTGAGCAGCTGCGCACTGGCTGTCAGTTCGCGTCTGCACTCTTGAGGTGGAGCTGGTGGCGGCCACACTGTAGGCTACCACAGGTAGTGAAGACAGGTTGCAGAAGTGCTACCACATGGGTGTAAGTCTGAAGACAGGTTGCAGAAGTGCTACCACATGGGTGTAAGTCTGAAGACAGGTTGCAGAAGTGCTACCACACTGGTAGTGAAGACAGGTCGCAGAAGCTTTCATTAGGGCAACATTTCGCACTGTTTAAAGCCTCATTGAACTTCATAATTATGAGTGATTAAAGCTCTACAGAGAACGAAACGTTGTCTCAACAAGTCTGTTCTGCAGCTTGTGTCTTCGTCTTCATAAGTGTCAGCAGTACATTTGATCTAGGTTAAAGTGGAACAGGATTTCAGTAAAGTGAATTTGGTTGGGTAAGTAGTGTTTTAAAACGGAGAACCAGTATTTAACTAAGAGACAGCTAGCATCAATAAACCATACCACATGTTCTCTTTAGTAATATGGACAGCTGGATAGGCTATCGATATAGAGTAACGAAATTGGTTTTGTTTTATGTAATGATTTTTTATAGCATTTTCACGCCATTGAAAATACAGACTCGGGATGAAAGCTGCAAATCTGACTCAAGAAGAAGGACTTTTGGGTGAGTGATGCCGAGAATGTCACATGGGCGCACATCAACCAAATATTTATTGTAGTATGCAGCACTATATGGAACCCACACCGGGAAAGAAATAGGAAAAGTGCAGAGGTTTGCAACGAGATAGTCTATGATAACGGGTATGCCCCATGAGAAGAGGTTAAGGGATTCAACCGAGACACTAGAACGGGGCAGGGAGTTATAACTACAAAATACTGGGGAATTGACGGGGGGGGGGGGAGCGTTTGGGCGAGAGGAACCAGAACCAGGGGCACAACGGGAAATTTTGAAAACTCAAATGAGTTTATAGGGATGTTAGGAAGCTTTTTCTTCACCCTTAGATTTGTCAGGAAGTGGAAACGAACTGGAGAGTGAGGGGTAGGGGCAGGATCTACGCAACATGCTTAAAGACGTGGTATGATGTTCCGAAGCCAGGATGAACCTAAAGCGACCAGCCAAGATGCGTGGCCGGGAGCTATAAATCGACCCACACCCACAAAAGGGAGTCATACACTTTTTTGGTTCTTTTAACTAAAAACCACGTTTTTTTCCCCTTTCTGTTTGGATTATAATAAAGCAATCAGATCTACTTTAAATTATGCTTCAGGGGGTATGAAAATGCCCAGGTTCCCCCGTGCGCAGCGTTGTGGCTCTGCTGGTACTGCTGTCATGGTGGGTTTTGTGCTGAAACCCCCTGTCACCTTTCCCCCCCTGCTTGAGAAAGTCCCTCGCTCTGCCCTTCCCTCCAGCGACCCTTTAAATTTTTTTACCCGGTTTTAAGGCGGAAGGGGTCGTGCGGGGGAAAAATGTCAGCAGATGCTAATACCAAATGCAGCGAAGATTTTAAAGCCCATAGAAAAAACGTTAAAAACCTTTTACTAAAATTTTTGCTTGGACAAAGAGTCTAAAGGTAAAGAAGTTATTGCCACAAAGATGACGTCTCCAAAAAGCCCCAAAGAAGAGTCAGTGGCGAAGATATCCCCTGAAGAGGACGAGTTGGAGGAGAAAGCGGAGAGGCCTATGTCACACAAGGAGGTTGGCTACGTAAATGACATCTACGTTGAGGACTACACACCACAGGACTTCGTGGAGGTGAAGAAACTCCACCCAGTCACCAGTAAGGTGAAGGCACCAGGCAAGAAGCCAGCTGTGGCAAGTCAGCGCCGACCATCTCCCCAGTCCATGCCCCACACACTCAGAGAACGGGCTCTCACCTTCTCCAACACTTCGGTAAGTCCGAGCCTATTCTTATCCCTATCCCATCTTCTACCCAAAAGGTCTCTCTCTTTACACAAATGTTAACCTAATGGGCAAGACACACGAGCAACAGTTGTGTATATTGTCGACGTTCTCGAGTCAATGCACATTTCCAAGTTGTGACTAAACCTCTTGCCATGTCTCTTGAATGGTATGCCCTTGATGCCCTCGGGGCTATCCTACTACTCCTAGTTGTTGTTTTCTGACAGATTTATATTGCACCCCATACTCGTCCTGTGTGCATAGGTTAAAAAAAAATGTTCTATCTAGGCTGGAATACTACTGTACATGAACATCTCCAGTCATAGCAGGTCAAATTGCAGATCTAGAGAATGTACAGATAACCTTTACTGCACGTATAAGTTCCGTCAAACACCTAATTACTGGGAACGCTTGGAAGCACTTGTACTCATTGGAACGCAGGCGAGAGAGAACATCATAATCTACACTTGAAAAATCCTAGAAGAAATGGTCCCTAATCTGCACACACAAATCACTTCTTACGAAAGCAAAAAACTGGGTAGGCGTTGCAAAATACCCCCAATGAAAAGTAGGGGCGCCGTTGGTACACTAAGAAAATACAGTAAGTGTCCGGGGCCCAAGACTGTTCAACAGCCTCTCACCATGCATAAGGGGAATTACCAATAGACCTCTGACTGCCTTCAAGAGGGAGCTGGACAGATACTTATATATATATAGTCGGATCAGCCAGGCTGTGGTTCATCTATTGGAGTACGTGCGGCCAGTAGTAACAGCTTGGTTGATCAGGCCCTGATCCACCGGGAGGCCTGGTCGTGGACCGGACCGCGGGGACATTTTTCCCCTTAATATATAATCAGAAATCAGTGAAATATCACATACCATCATTACTCGGTAATATCATCACACACCACCACTATTCCCGAATTAAATTAAAAAAAAAAAAAGGCATGGGAACTTAAAAAAAAAAAAGAGGAAATTTGATATAAAACTATTTACTCGATAAAGTTAAATATTGAATTATTTAAAGGGATTCTTTTTATTAACTAAAAATAACACTTAAAGAAAATGAATCAGTTATATACTTTTTTGGAGCTCACTGCGGCTGGTAGGTCTGCCTGTCTCTTACTTGTGATCATCTGTTAGTGAATACGCGGGGGAATACATGAGAGTGCATCTGCGTATATTGGAAAGACAGCTAGTAGAGGAATTAAGAGTACTCCCCGAGCTTATCAGATGGGAAGATGGTGGGTTAATTGGCCTTTATGAAAATCCAATTGGTACACGAATTATTAGTTCAGGTTGTATGTCACTTATTCTCCATCAGAGATAGTCTCATTAAAAATATAGGCCTCTATATTATATATATATATATATATATATATATATATATATATTTTATATATATAAAATTATATATATATATATATATTTTTTTTTTTTTTTTTTTTTTTCAACAAGTCGGCCGTCTCCCACCGAGGCAGGGTGACCCAAAAAAAGAAAGAAAATCCCCAAAAAGAAAATACTTTCATCATCATTCAACACTTTCACCACACTCGCACATTATCACTGTTTTTGCAGAGGTGCTCAGAATACAACAGTCTAGAAGCATACACATATAAAGATACACAACATATCCCTCCAAACTGCCAATATCCCAAACCCCTCCTTTAAAGTGCAGGCATTGTACTTCCCATTTCCAGGACTCAAGTCCGACTATATGAAAATAACCGGTTTCCCTGAATCCCTTCACTAAATATACCCTGCTCACACTCCAACAGATCGTCAGGTCCCAAGTACCATTCGTCTCCATTCACTCCTATCTAACACGCTCACGCACGCTTGCTGGAAGTCCAAGCCCCTTACCCACAAAACCTCCTTTACCCCCTCTCTCCAACCCTTTCGAGGACGACCCCTACCCCGCCTTCCTTCCCCTATAGATTTATATGCTTTCCATGTCATTCTACTTTGATCCATTCTCTCTAAATGACCAAACCACCTCAACAACCCTCTTCTGCCCTCTGACTAATACTTTTATTAACTCCACACCTTCTAATTTCCACACTCCGAATTTTCTACATAATATTTACACCACACATTGCCCTTAAACAGGACATCTCCACTGCCTCCAACCGTCTCCTCGCTGCTGCATTTACCACCCAAGCTTCACACCCATATAAGAGTGTTGGTACTACTATACTTTCATACATTCCCTTCTTTGCCTCCATAGATAACGTTTTTTGACTCCACATATACCTCAAACGCACCACTCACCTTTTTTCCTCATCAATTCTATGATTAACCTCATCCTTCATAAATCCATCCGCCGACACGTCAACTCCCAAGTATCTGAAAACATTCACTTCTTCCATACTCCTCCTCCCCAATTTGATATCCAATTTTTCTTTATCTAAATCATTTGACACCCTCATCACCTTACTCTTTTCTATGTTCACTTTCAACTTTCTACCTTTACACACATTCCCAAACTCATCCACTAACCTTTGCAATTTTTCTTTAGAATCTCCCATAAGCACAGTATCATCAGCAAAAAGTAACTGTGTCAATTCCCATTTTGAATTTGATTCCCTATAATTTAATCCCACCCCTCTCCCAAACACCCATAGCATTTACTTCTTTACAACCCCATCTATAATATATTAAACAAACCATGGTGACATTACACATCCCTGTCTAAGACCTACTTTTACCGGGAAGTAGTCTCCCTCTCTTCTACACACCCTAACCTGAGCCTCACTATCCTCATAAAAACTCTTTACAGCATTTAATAACTTACCACCTATTCCATATACTTGCAACATCGCCACATTGCTCCTCTATCCACTCTATCATATGCCTTTTCTAAATCCATAAATGCAATAAAAACTTCCCTATCTTTATCTAAATACTGTTCACATATATGCTTCAATGTAAACACCTGATCTACACATCCCCTACCCACTCTGAAACCTCCTTGCTCATCCGCAATCCTACATTCTGTCTTACCTCTAATTCTTTCAATTATAACCCTACCGTACACTTTCCCTGTATACTCAGTAAGCTTATTCCTCTATAATTTTTACAGTCGCTTTTGTCCCCTTTCCCTTTATATAAAGGGACTATACATGCTCTCTGCATCCCTAGGTCCTTCCCCTCTTTCATACATTTATTAAACAAAAGTACACCCTCCAACACTATATCCCCCCTGCTTTTACATTTCTGTCATGATCCCATCAGTTCCAGCTGCTTTACCCCTTTCATTTTACGTAATGCCTCACGTACTCCCCCACACTTACATTCTGCTCTTCTTCACTCCTAAAAGATGGTATACCTCCCTGCCAGTGCATGAAATTACTGCCTCTGTTTCTTCCTTAACATTTAAAAGTTCCTCAAAATATTCTCGCCATCTACCCAATACCTCCATCTCCCCATCTACTAACTCCCCTACTCTGTTTTTAACTGACAAATCCTTTATTTTCCCTAGGCTTTCTTAACTTGTTTAACTCACTCCAAAATTTTTTCTTATTTTCATTAAAATTTCTTGACAGTGCCTCTCCCACTCTATCATCTGCTCTCCTTTTGCACTCTCTCACCACTCTCTTTAACCTTTCTTTTACTCTCCATATACTCTGCTCTTCTTATAACACTTCTGCTTTGTAAAAACCTCCATAAGCTACCTTTTTCTCTTTTATCACACCCTTTACTTCATCATTCCATCCAATCACTCCTCTTTCCTCCTGCCCCCACCCTCTATAACCACAAACTTCTGCCCCACATTCTAATACTGCATTTTTAAAACTATTCCAACCCTCTTCAAACCCCCCACTACTCTCTTTGCACTAGCCCACCTTTCTGCCAATAGTCGCTTATATCTCACCCGAACTTCCTCCTCCCTTAGTTTATACACTTTCACCTCCCTCTTACTTGTTGTTGCCACCTTCCTCTTTTCCCCATCTACCTCTTACTCTAACTGTAGCTACAACTAAATAATGATCCGATATATCAGTTGCCCCTCTATAAACATGTACATCCTGGAGCCTACCCATCAACCTTTTATCCACCAATACATAATCTAATAAACTACTTTCATTACGTGCTACATCATACCTTGTATATTTATTTATCCTCTTTTTCATAAAATATGTATTACTTATTACCAAATTTCTTTCTACACATAGCTCAATTAAAGGCTCCCCATTTACATTTACCCCTGGCACCCCAAATTTACCTACTACTCCTTCCATAACATTATTACCCACTTTAGCATTGAAATCCCCAACCACCATTACTCTCACACTTGATTCAAAACTCCCACGCATTCACTCAACATTTCCCAAAATCTCTCTCTCTCCCTCTACACTTCTCTCTTCTCCAGGTGCATACACGCTTATTATAACCCACTTTTCACTCCAATCTTTATTTACTCCACATAATCCTTGAATTAATACATTTATAGTCCCTCTTTTCCTGCCATAGCTTATCCTTCAACATTATTGCTACTCCTTCTTTAGCTCTAACTCTATTTGAAACCCCTGACCTAATCCCATTTATTCCTCTCCACTGAAACTCTCCCACCCCCTTCAGCTTTGTTTCACTTAAAGCCGGACATCCAGCTTCTTCTCATTCATAACATCCACAATCATCTCTTTCTTATCATCTGCACAACATCCACGCACATTCAGACTTCCCACTTTGACAATTTTCTTCTTCTTATTCTTTTAGTAATCTTTACAGGAAAAGGGGTTACTAGCCCATTTTTTCCCGGCATTTTAGTTGACTTTTACAATAGCAGGGCTTCGGAGGAAAGATTCTTTTCCCATTCCCCCATGGAATAAAAGGAAAATAAAAAAAGCCCAAAGAACTATTAAGATAAAATAAAAAGAAAACTCAGATAGGGGTGTATAAAAAAATGTGTACAGTACGTAGTTAGTGTGACCAAAGTGTAAGTAAATAGCAAGACATCCCTGAATCTTGCATATTTATGAGACAGAAAA